GGGGACACACTAGCACTACTTGGCCCCCATGGCTGCTTCTAGGAAGAGGGCAGGGAACCACCTTTGCCACCATCAATAACGCCTTGGCTGGCTTTCCCCACGCTCCGCCTCCCGCTGCTTTAATTCCGAAATTCTCTTGCCGAAGATCACCTCGACCATCACAGCCACCAACTTTAGGAACAAGTGATTTATTTTTATCTGATTTCCCCAGAGTAATCTGAGTATACGCTAGCCATGAGAGAAAAATGTTTCTCATTTTAGTTCATGGATTGTTCTGGAACTATGAATGTCAGGGGAAACTGCAACAGGAACAGTGGTTTTTTGGCTTGGGTCCCCTGGGAGGAGGCCACTTCTCTGAAATGGGAGGGGTGGGGGGGGCAAGAGTCATATGACCGAAAAGAGGGTTCCAGGACAAAAGGGGGCCATTCCCAGAAAATGCCAGAGCACTGCTGTGCAATACCTGCCTCCCTTGCAAAGTGGGGAAATACATTTCAATAACAGTAACAGCTGTGCATGGCAGCTCATGCCCATATTCAGGAGGCAGAGATTAAGAGGTTTGAGGTTTGAGGTCAGCCAGGGCAGGAAGTCAGTGAGACCTCCATCTTAGTCAATAAGCTAGGTGTGGTGGTTCACAGCTGAGAAGAGGGAAGAGGATCACAGTTTGAGGCCAGCCCCAGGAGAAAATGCAAACATATTTTTTTTAAAAAGAGCTAAAGCAAAAAAAAAAAAAAAAACAGCTGGGATTGTAGTTCAAGCAGTAGAGCAACCACAAGACCCTGAGATTAAAACCCCAGCACCAAGTCGGGCACCAGTGCTCACACTTGTAATCCTAGCTATTCAGGAGGCTGAGATCTGAGGATCACGTTCAAAGCCAGCCCGGGCAGGAAACTCCAGAGACTCTTATCTCCAATTAACTACCAGAAAACTGGAAGTGGCGCTGTGGCTCAAGTGGTAGAGCACTCACCTTGAGCTGAAGAGCTCAGGGACAGTGCCCAGGCCCAGAGTTCAAGTCCCATGACCAACCAAAAAAGAAAACCAACAATCCCGCATGGCAACAAAACCAAAACCCCAACAAAAGAATGTGCTGCTGGGTCATCTGATAGTTCACTGGCCAGAGAGAAAGGATTCTTATAGCAAACCAAATAGCTGTAGGTGAGGGAGGGAGACAAGTGCGGGCCAGCAGCTGGCCTCAGCTGGCCCTTCTGTATAAGAGCCGTCGCATTTTAGGACAACTCAGAGACAGCTGGCTCATAGACTGCCAGCCCAGACCTTCCCACACGCTGCCATCAGATACGCCACAAGGCCGCGCCCACCAGCCACCCACATCCTCCAATCCCAGCTCCTTTTTGGCTGCCAGCTAGTCATGAGGGGCCACTTGTCATCAGTGCCATACCCACAGGGAAGACTCACTGCACAGATGCTACCATGTGCCACCTTTAGGGCACATGTGACATCATGGGCATGTGCTCACCAAGTTTCTCCCCAGTCCCTGTCCTGCCAGCTGGGCTCTGAGGAGCCCCGTTCTCTGCCCTCTGCCACCTGGCTCATGTCCTTACCAGCTTCACTCCTGCTCACCTGGTGGTAAGCTGGATACACCAGTATCTAGGGCAGTCAGAGCCACTAGAACCCTGAGCATTGTGGCAAAGAGAACCCACTCTGGGGACAGGAGGTGTGGAGGTTCCAGTGACATAATCTATTCCCCGTGTGCTGCACAACACTGACAGGACAACAAGATGGACAAACGAGAGGATGGGGCAGAACTTCCCCAGGACCCAGGCTCCACCCACCCTCCCCAAACACCCCAACTCACTATGAAAACTGAGACTTCTTCACAACGAGCAGCCTTTCTACCTCAAGAATACAATCAGATTCATGTTACTTGATATTGTTGAGTCATTTCTCAGTGAGCTCTTCAGGGTTCTTTTACAGCTATGTAATCCTTTGTTGAAGATGAAAAAATAAACTAAATCTGCTTAACTGTTAGAGAGTCAAGTACTTCTTCTATTCTTGGCAAGTCAGATCTCCATAAGAAAACACATCTACAAGTGATTTGGCTAATGCTGGGTGCCAGTGGCTCACCCCTGTAATCCTAGCTATTTGGGAGGCTGAGATCTTAGGATCATAGTTCAAAACTAGCCAGGGCAGGGGCTGGGAAGGTGGCTCAGTGGTAGAGCGCTTGCCTTGCATGCCTGAGGCCCTGGGTTCAATTTCTCAGCACCACATAAGCAAAAAGAAAAAAGCCGGAAGTGGCGCTGTGGCTCAAGAGGTAGAGCGCTAGCCTTGAGCTGAAGAGCTGAGGGACAGCGCCCAGGCCCAGAGTTCAGGCCCCACGACCGGACCCCCCAAAAAAAAACAAAAACCAAAAAACTAGCCAGGGCAGTAAAGTCTGTGAGAATCAAATCTTCAACCAACCAGTAAAAGGTCAGAATTGGGCTTGACCTCAGAACCAGGGTGCTGTCCCATAGCTTTTTCACATAGGTTGGTACTATATTACTTGAGCCACAGTGCCACTTCTGGCATTTTGTCATT